AACTTTCTGGTCGATCATCCATGCATTGACATGCCTGAAGCGATTGAATTAGAAATCAATTCATTCGATTTAAAACCTTGGATCTTATACTTTGATGGATCAAAAACCTCCAAAGGTACAGGGGTAGGAATATCATTAATAAATCTTTTAGGGATTTGTTACAAATTCGCATTCACTTAGGATAGGATGTGTACCAACAATCAAACCGAATATGAAGCCTTAATTGTGCGTTTAGAGTTGATGATAGAGATGGAAGTAAAGAAAGTGATCGTTAGGGGCGATTCTCAATTGGTAATTCACCAATTGTTTGGCGATTTTAAGTGCCAAAGCGATTCCATTGTAAGTCAATACGAAATCGCCCAAGAATTGTTGGAAGAATTTGACCAAACAGAGCTTCAATGTGTTAATAAGATGTATAATGACATAGCAAATGAGAAGGCCCAAATGGCCTTAGGTTATTCAAAAGCTTTAAATTTGGAGTCTACTTGTGAATATGGAATAATATTGCCCGTAGTACAAAGGAGGGGGAGAAGGATCAGAGTTCATTGCATACAAGATGGAGATGCAATAGATTGGAAAACAGATTAAAAGGTTCTTCAAAGAACCTAATAAGGAAAGTAGTAGAAAAATGAAGTTGCGTTCGTTGAAGTATGCATTGATAGATGAAGAGTTATTTAAGAAACGCTCGGATGGTATACTACTAAGATGTTTAAGTTTGCAAGAAACCAGAACGATCATGGCTGATGTGCATGAAGGGATATGTGGAGCTCATCAAGTTGGCCAAAGAATGAGATAGTTGATTATTAGAAGTGGATATTTCTGGCCCAAAAATGGGAGAATCGTGTGTTCAGTATGCGAAGAGTTGTTTAACATGCCAAAAACATAGTCCAATACAAAGAGCGCTAGCAAGAGAAATGACACCCATTATCAAACATTGACCTTTCAAGGGTTGGGCGATAGATTTGATAGGAAAGATTTACACCCCATCGTCCAAGCAACATACATTTGTAATAGTTGCAACAGATTTCTCCACTAAGTGGGTAAGCGATACCTTT